TAAACACAGTACTTAGGAGGAGCAATAGGCCAACTGAAGGGGATCAAGGGGTAAAGAGGGAGAGACCAAGTCAAAGTGTCTTTGTTTGTAGACGGTGTGATTGTACACAGAAGTAACTGTAACTTTTGGCTTGTTCTAAAGATTTATTGTGGTTTCAGTAATTTGCACTAATGTGTGCTTCCAGTTGGGTGTGTGCACGTGAAATCTGACAGAAGAGTATGTTAGCTCCCAGGGGCCTAGGCTAGTTGTCAGCCACCAAATATGAGTACTGGGAATCAAACCTGGGACCTTTGCAAAAGGAGGAAGGACTCTTAACTGCTGACTCATCTCTCCAGTTCTGAACCATGCATTTCATTCTGTAATATGCAGCTTTAGCCATATAAACAAACAGCAAGAAAACAAGACAATCTTCGATTTCAGATGGATTGTTTCCCTTAGAGTCTAGGAAGTTTTTACTGTGATGATGTGTGACTATTCTACTTGATAGGACAAGGAGATTCTCAGATAGGGTAATATGTTATTTTTCTCTTTTCTTTGACAAAATACCTGAAAAATAAAATTTAGCGAAATGAATTATTTCAGCTTCCGGTTTCTGAGATTTTGATCCATAGGTCTTGGGTCTATTGACTGTGGGCCTGACTGTAGTGAGGCAGATCATCAAGGCAGAGATAGCATCCAGAGGAGGAGGCTTTTTACCTTACAGCATTCAGGAGACAGCTGCTGCGGTCTTCAGAAGCTAACTCCCACTGACTTACTCCACCTCCAGTTAGTGTCGTCATCTTGAATAGAGAATTCAGCTCTTAAGGTAGTGGGAATATTTCAGAGTCCAAGCTTGAGAGGAGACTAGCTAAGATTAGTCAGGAAAGCATGATCCAAACACACAAGACCAAGACATGGAAGAAAAAAGAAAAAAAAAAAAAGGAAATATTATTGAGACATAAGAAAGGACAGACACAAGCTATGGGCTGCAAGATGAAAGGGATCATGAACACAGGAATGTGTGCTTTCCCTAGAAGCTGAGAATGGCCATTATCTGACAACAGCAAAGGATGTTGAGTCTAAAGTCAGAAGGAACTGAGTTTGATAACCGTGTGGACAAAGGAGTGGCTCTCTTGTGGAGTTTTTAAAAGGCATTTACTGGATTTAGCTGAAGGAGGCTCCTAAACCCAATGAGACTGAGAGAATGGCCACACAACCAAAGAACACGTTTTGTTGCTTCAAAACACTAACATTTGGTAACATTTTAAGCCAAAATCAGGAAGAACATAGTTCATGTTTTGATTTTCCTACATTTCTGTGTTAGGACTATTTTTAGCTTGTGGATGAAAGTAAACTTCAAGTACATTTTCATTTACAATATAAACTAATTCTGAGAGGCTTATAGTCATGATAAAAGATGTTCTTTACCACCTTTTATTTTAATCTTGACAAATTTGCAGCAAGATACTCTTAAATCTCTCTAGTGATTGTAGAAATTCTAAATGAGTCAACAAAATTTGACCAAGAAGCCTCTTGTCTATACTAACTTTCTCAAAGGTATTTTTTTTATTTAATAGAGGAGTGTAAAGTATATTCTCTCATTGTTTTTGCATTTGTCCCTATTTTTGCCTCTTTCTGTATTTCTGTTCATCTATCTATCTATCATTCGTCTATCTGTGTGTCTGTCTGTCCATCCGTCCATCAGTCCATCCATCATCTATCTATCTATATCTAATCTATCATCTTTCTATTGCTTATCTTTCATATATCTACCATCTATCAATAATCTATTTGTGTATATCAGTTATCTATTTTTCCATCTCTACCTATGTATTATATATTTGTGTATATAGTTCTCCTTATTGGTATTTTCTATTGTTTATAAATTAATAGTTTACATTATCTAAAACTACTGCTTTAAAGAAAGCTTGCTGAACCATATAAAAGTTCAGTTTTTTTATAAGCAAATAAGTTGTTGGCAGTGGTGATAACACACTATGAGGAAAGGATTACTCCTAACACATGGGGTCAGGAACGTTGAACATCCACTTGCCAAAAAGTGAAAGTGATTTTTATTTTAAACCATGCCCAAACACAAACTCAAAGTGGATTAAAATTTAAATGTAAGAAATATAAGACCTGAAACTAAATTTCTCAGGAGAAAATATTGATATAATTGTCTTAAAAAGAAAAGTAGCTAGGGCTGCTTAAATAAAAAAAATCTTCTGCACAATAAAGGAGACAATCAAGACAATGACAACACAGCTTAAGACTGGGAGGAAAGCATTTTTCCACTATATCTGGTAAGAGGTTAATGTCCAGAAACATGCAAAGCATGTCTCCAATTCAGCAAAACAACAGAAATCCTAATTAAAAACTCCAGTAAAACCACAATCAAAATCTTAGGAAAAGGAGGCACTAATGAAAAGGTGCATAAAAGTGCTCAAGTTCATTAATCATCAGTGACCTCTCACTGATTTCTGGATGCCTGTTCAAACACACAGAGCTGGTTACGATGGAGGGGAAATGTGAGGAAAAAAGGCTTCAGGTAAGATGGTTTCACTAACCAATTCTGTCCAGTATTTAAGAAGGAAAACATGAAAGTTTCAGTGCAATTTCTACGAGGAAATAGAAGCAGAATAGAGAGTTCCTAACTGATTCTATGAGGTTAGCATTAGTACAGCACCCAAACCATATGAAGAATTGTAGGGAAAGTATAAGTAGAGGGCATTTATCATGAATCCAGAAACCTGAATCCTCAGTGAAATACCAGAATCCCAAATTCAGCAAGACAAAGGAAGAATTAGACCCCATTTCTAAGTAAATTTACCAGGTAAAAACTGACTGCGTTTGAAAATCTAATGTGGCTAATGTAGTTTGTCACATTAACAGGCTGTGATGCTAATATTGATTACCAATTTGACAAGATCTAGAAACACCAACGAGATAACTCTTTGTGTTCATCTTTGAGAAAAATCGATGAAAAAAAAAGGCATTTGATGAATCCAACAATTAAAAAGGAAATAACTTAGCAAATTCATACTAAAGCTAACTTCCTTAAACTAATGGAGAATCTTTAGCTCACAAAGTGCTTAGTGAGTAGAGAGTGTCGTATTGTCCTCCCAGTATTCAGATCTGTCTGGGCTCCAGGAATTGTTTGCCTAGACTCCACCAGGAGACCCACAGATCAGGGCTTCAATGTTGAGAAGAACGCTGTCCCAAGGATCCCTATGTTGCCCACAGTGGGGGTGCGGGTGGGATGGATCTGATGCCTGGATGCTAGTGTAGAGAGACCCTGGATCTGTGGTTCTGCACGCACTCATTTGAAGGCGCACTCACTTGCTCGTAGGCCTAATCTGAAAGTACAGGGGTTCCCCCTGTTCTCTACTCTCAGATTTGGGCCTGCAGGGGCAAATGAGAGTGTATGAGATGGTCAGCTCAGTGGGTGTCCACTGTTTGGCCACTAGGCAGGGAGACCTATACTTGGGGCAGCTGTCTCTGCCTTTTCAGACATGGAGCATGGAGACTCCTGCTTGGTGCAGCTGCCTCTGCTGTCTCAGTCCCTGAGCACGGAGGCTCCAGCCTGGGGCAGCCGCCGCGCTGCCATAGCTTCAGACCTGAGAGGTCTGTCCTGCCTCTGCCTCTGCCATACTGAGCATGGAGACCCATGCTCGGGGCAAGGGGAAGTGCAAGGGGGTCGAAAGTCCCACTCTCAGTCCCTGGAGACATCTACAGGTGACCTGGATCCAAACTGGCCCAACTCACTGGTTGTCTCCTCTTGCCCAGGAAGCCTCAATGTTGATGTTCTGGCTTCAACTCCAGTCACCAATTTCAGAGTTTTGGATCCTGTGCCCCTTAGATATGGTGAGCGCTGGTGGCTGCCATCTTGGACCGCCTCAGACATATGGTTTTCAGAAAAAAATAAAAATAAAAAACTTCAAAACTCCAGTGAAAGAAGAAGATTTGAAGACCCACAAGAAGCCTAATATGCCCATCTGCTATATCTTTGTAGGGTCCTGGGTCCAGTGCCTGCATGGTCTTGGCTGATGCTTCAGTTTCAGCAAACCCTTCTGGGCCCTGGTTAGCTGGCTCTGTTGGTATTCTGGAGCTGGGCCTACAGTTGACAATGACTGTCTTGCCAGCTTTTTGATCACTTTTTCCTGGCGGAATAGCTTTGCCAGGCCACAGGGGAAGAGGACACACTCAGTCCTGTTGCAACTTGATGAGCTGGGCTGGATGGAAAAGGGAGCTCCCTCTTCTGAGGAATAGAGGTTTGGGGGATGGGAGAGAGAAGAAGGAGGGTGGAATTGGGGCAGGAGGGATGGGGTACAACCAGGATGTAAAGTAAATAAAAATATAAACAAAAAAGAAAAAAAATTGAACAAATGGACAGTTTGTTTGTGGATAGAAAGACTCAGTACCTTTTTTAAGCTTGAGATTGATTTGTTTTTTTATCTATCTCTGTCCCTCTCTCTCTCTATGTATGTATCTTTGTTATATTTTATTCATCTTTTGTACAATACTCCAGACCGCAGTTTCTCTTCTTCCACTCCTCCCAGGCCTCTACCTGCCCTCCCCTCTTCCCCAGATCCATTCATCCTCTGATTCCCTTCAGGAAAAACAAACAAACAAACAAACAAACAAACAAACAAACAAAAAACCCACAAAAACAGGCCTCCCAGGAATATTACTCAAATAAGGCATAACAAGTTACACAAAGACTAGGTACAAACCCTCGCATCAGGGCTGGGTGAGGCAACCCAGGAGGAGGAAAAGGGTCCCAAGAGCAGGCGAAAGAGTCAGAGATACCCCTACTCCCACTGCTTCAAGTCCCTCAACAGCACCAAGCTAACAACTGTAACATGCGGAACCTGGGGCAGACCACTCTGTGATTGTTGCTTCTGTCTCAGCCAGCCTCTGTGGGTCCTTCTTACGTGATTTTGTGGGCCCTGTTCTCCTGCTGTCCTCAACCCCTTTTGGCTTTTACAGTTCTTCGTCTCCCTCTTCCCCAAGGTTCCCCGAGTCACAAAGGAACAAACCCAAGGAGGTCTCCAGTTTGTGCTCTCTCTCCTCCTAATGCCTGGCTGTGTGTCTCTGCAACTGCTCTCATCAGCTGCCCAGCGGAATCCTCTCTGATTATGATTGGGCACCTGTCTGTAAGTACAGTAGGCCTGCATTAGGAATCATTTTGTTTATTGATTTGTTTTCCCTCCCAGTGTTTGGGCCCCCAGCCTCTGGTTCCTGGTCATCCAGGCCGTGTTAGGGGTGGGCTCCCTCTTGGGGTGAGGCCCACACATTAGATCAAAGACTCAGTATTTAAGATGATCAGTGCCCAGCGTCATGTCCTCTGCGCCTTCATTTTATTTATTTGTTTTTAATTTTTTATTACTGTCATTTATTAAAATTTATTCAATTTGTATCTGGGCTATGGCCCCCTCCCTTGTCTCTTCCCAATCCCACCCTCCCTCCCTCTTCTACCCCTATGCCCCTCCCCTAGTCCACTGATAGGGGAGGTCTTCCTTCCCTAGCCTATCAGGTCTCATCAGAACTGGCTGAATTGTTCTTCCTCTGTGGCCTGGCAAGGCTGAACTCCACAGGGGGAGGTGATCAAAGAGCCCATCACTGAGTTCAGGCCAGAGAAATACCCCTGCTTCCCTTATTATGGAACCCATTTGGAGACTGAGTCTATGGGCTACATCTGAGCTAGGGTTTTAGGTCTTCTCCATGCATTGTCCTTGGTTGGAGTATCAGTCTCTGCAGGGTCTCCAGGGCTCACTTTTTTTTTTTTTTTTTTTTTTTTTTTTTTTTTTTTGGCTCTGTTGGTCTCCTTTTGGAGCTCCTGTCCCCTCCAGGTCTCAGCTATTAAAAACAAGGAAATCATGAAATTTGCAGGCAAATGGTGGGATCTAGGAAAGATCATAAGACCATCTGAGTGACGTATCCCAGAAGCAGAAAGACACACATGGTATATACTTACTCATAAGTGGATGTCCATATAATATAGGATAAACATACTAAAATCTGTACACCTGAAGAAGATAAGCAAGAAGGAGGACCCTAGGGAAGATGCTTAATTCTCATTCAGAAGGACAAATATGATAGACATTGGAAGCAGACAGGGAACAGGACAGGAGCCTACCACAGACGGCCTCTGCAAGACTCTACCCAGCAGGGTATCAAAGGCTGAGGCTGAGGCTCATAGCCAAACTTTGGACAGAGTGCAGGGAATCTTAACCTTTATTTTAGATAACACAGTCATCCAATACCAAATGGTCAGCCCTGAAGAGTTGCACAGAAGTCACATTATACAAACTAAGAGGGCTGTACTTATTGTTTAAGAAATATGTATGCGTATGTATTTATGTAATTATATCACAACCTCAGGTAATTATATTATAATCTCAAAATATTTTAAAATGCCTAGACCAAAGACCTAGAATAGCTAACTCAGTATGACATGCCATATTAAAGAACTTCGTGATGTGCTGTGAAGCGGCATCAATCAGGACAGAGCAGAGACAGAGGGACAGTATAGGTAAACGGACACATGAAGACGTACAGAGAACAAAAGGCAGTTTGCATTTCAGGCCTGGGCTTGCCCCTGTGGACAAGGAAGGCGTACTCGAGAACACTGCCCTCTGCAGTGTTCACAATTAGGAGCCACACCCTGTGTAGCAAATACAGCCGGCACGTTTCTATGTTCAATAAAAGTACAAGTCCAGAAAAATTTTTCAATTATATATTGACAGAAAAAAACTTGTATTTTTTTTTAAATCTTAACTAGTCTGAATTTATAACATGGTCATTTAGCTTTGTGGAGAGGTTAAAGTTGTCATGAAAATAAGATACAACTCAGCGGTCTGTGCACAATGTGGGAAAGAAGTTGGTTTTCTGGTGCTTTGTGGGTCGCGCAGCTGCTGTGTTGGTCTGGGAGTCTCATAATAATTTTGGCAGAAATTATGGACTCAAACGTCCATACGTTACTAAAAGCAATTCCTGAATATTTTAGTGTTGACAAAAATGTTTTATTACTTTGCATTTTAGCCTGAATTTGGTTATATAAACTGTTCTCTTTTCTTACTAAATCCAAAAATTTATACAATGGTGGTACATAAAAATATTTATTTCTGCATTCCTAGTGATAGGATAAATCAGTTATTGGCCGAAGGAAGACAATGAGGGCATTTTACAATTTTTTTTCAAAAAGCACTCTTATTTTATTGAATGTCATTGTATGATGCCCTGTGCCTGCTAAGCAGACACTTTGCCCTCGGTCTGTAGCCACCATGCCCTCTTTAACTGTTACGGTGCCTGTGGCTCTCCATTGCAGCCTCTCTGCCTGCTCTGTCAGGGCGATATGGGCACCTGGATAAATCTCCGGGTGCTGCGATGCAGGCGCCGACGCTCCTAAGTCTCCCGCCAGCTCCCAGCCTGTTTACAGACCATCACTGACCATCGGCAGAGGACTCCAGCACAGACAACGCCGACTGCACACACTCCATTTCCTCCCTGTGGTCCTGCGGCAAGCTCTGTGGCCCTCTCTGCTGCATTTGGCTAATGACAGAGCTTCCGTACATTCCCCCGTGCAGGAAGAGTTGGTGGCCTGTAAAGACAGAGTATGGAGAAGAGACACTTGCTTATCCCTCACCTTTCCTTCTGTCCTGGCTGGCTGTCAGTGTCTACTGTGGCTTGAGGGTTTGTGTCACCCCCAGCTTCCCACTTTGAAGCCTCACTATTCGGTGAGATGGTAACAGGAAATGGGGCTTTTTGGGAGGTAATTTTGTGGTGAAGTGGGAGCCCTCATGAATGGGATGAAAACTCTTACGATAAACGAGGGGAGAGAGACTCTTTCCCTTTATTCTGTGCCACACAAATACCGAACAGGAAAACTACTATCTAAAAACCAGGAAGAGCGCCCTAACACAGCAACCTCGCTAGATCCCCGAGCTCAGAACTCCCTGCTCCAGAGCCCTTTAGCCCACGCAGCTTCCACTGTTAGGCTGCGGCAGTCCAACAGCTGAAGGCAGCGGGTTTCAGCTTGTGGATTGGTGCCATCAGAAAACACGTATTTTTGATGGACTTAGGAACCTCAGTGGGTCAATTACTCCGCTCGGTAGCAAAATTACAGTATGAAGTAGCGACAAAAGTAGTTTTATGGGGTGGGGCCCCCATGACGAAATAGAAGGTCACGGCGTTAGGAAGGTTGAGGGACGCCGATCTAAGCCGGAATGTACCACGCTACCCCAGCACTTAACGGTGGAAAGTGACGAGCAGATTATTTTTGCGTGTGTCCTGTGTGATGGCGGGTTCAGGTGGACAGGTTTTACATGAACACCGCCTTGCAGTACCAGTCAGATTTTGTTTTGGGCTGGAGTTCCTTCGAGGGTTAGATGTGGTTTTAGCGGCCTTGGTCGGTGCTGACAGTTGAGCTCCACTGTTGCTCCCCAGAAGCTCCTGCAAGGGCTCTGTCAGAGCGCGCCCTTCTGACTTGCTTCTGAGGAGTGTTCCAAACCCAGTGTTTCAAGAGATTGGTAGGAAACCAAGAGGGAGTGTCCGGAAGCATTATTCCCGCACCTGACCTGGCCTCACTGCTCCCATTCCATTGGCCAGAGCAGCGACACAACAGAGGAACCTTAAAAATAAACTGCTTCTGCGTGGGCACAGGGTGGAGCCGCGGAAAGGCAGAAGACACGTGAGATAGGTTTGGCAGCTCCTTGGAAAGTAAATCTTAAAGCCATCGCATCTTTTCTTCAGCCCTCCCATGTAATTCCTGGGTAGGGTGCAGGTCGATTGAGTGAAAGCTCACCTGTTGAATAAACTCTCCACCTGACCAGCTTCCCCTTTCCCACAGCTATCAGCGCATCTAAAATAAGAGCTTTTAACAGTGTGGAGTAGCATTCAATAAGCCACACTGCTTCTGACCTCGCAGGCTGCTGTCTCTCGGCACTCAGCCTCACCTCCTTGTGATTTCCTCTGCTCTGCCTCTCGTTGCTCTTTCTCCATTTCCCATCTCTTCTGCTCATTTTTCTCATCACTCAGCTCTCAGCTTGCCGTTCTTCACCACAGCAGCAGCTCTGGGCTGTGCTCACCGCTGATTGTCTTTCCCATCCATCTCCCATGAGCTCCACTTGCTCATTTTTTTTTTTTTTCCTGCATGGCTCTCTTACAGTACACATCGAATTCCTTATTTATATTGTTTACTTTCTGTGTTCTTCACTAAACAGAGCAACTGGAGGTCAAAGGCAGTGTTCTGGTGATCTCTACAGCCTCGTTACTAGGTCTGACTCAGAGCAGGCTACCAGTAAGTATTTGTCTGTTGAGCTACTTATAATTTTAAAAGATCTTGCCCTTTTGTATGGGTCAGAAACAAGACGATGAAACTAAATGCAGCGGATATAAAATTCATCGTTGAGGCTCCAAAGATTTGCTTTGGTGAGATTTGAGAATCAGTCTGTTTGTTGGCAATACGAGTGAAAAAAAAATCACCGCAGGATTTTGGTAAATGCAATTGTAATATGAGTTGTGTATTTAAAGGCTGGTGCACTGTTAGACATGACACAGACTCTAGAAATAATTTAATTTAAATAAATATAAAGAAAATAAAGACTCTTTTGGAGAATAGAAAACTTCAAACAGCTATGATATACATTCAGAATACCTGCCTGAGTGCTGTTTGGAGACTCTGCCTGCCTGTGAGTCTGTCTGTTCAGACTGTGTATTCTGAACTAGACAGAATAACCGCAGGAGAGCCCCAAGGACCCAGAAATCCACTGTACAGCAGCCCTAAGACACACTGCTTTTACACTCCACCCCCATAAGCGCATAACCTAAATGGTGGGCCGCAGCCATGATTTAGGCTTTTTAGAATTAGTGTTAGTTCAGATTAAGTGTCTGTTAGTACCTGGGAGTTCTTTTAATTTTCTCCTCCCCAAAGCACATTTACTTTGGTAAATAGTCATTAGCTGGTGTATGCCAGGAATCTCAGCACTTGGGAGGCTGAGATTTGCTGTGAGTTGAGAGTTCACCTGGACTACATAGCAAGACCATGCCATGACCCATTTACCCTCTTCCCTCCCAAAAAAAAAGAGGAAGAAAAAGAACTACAAAAGAAAGTCTTCAATCACAAGCCTGTATTGTATTACATAACTGCATGGGGGTTGGGAAAATAAACTGGCAACAGTAGAAATTTCTGTGTCCCTAGTGCCTGTGGCGGTGCCTGCCCAGGCTGCGGGTCATAACTGCCCTCTGCTCTGAGCTCCGGCTCTACTGCCCGAAACACCGTGGCACAGAGCGAAAACTGTTGTCTGTTATCAACAGCGGTTCCCACTGCACACAGCTCTCTCCTCTTAGAGAAACACAATGGCTTAATTATGGGGGGGGTGTTTTAGTATTTTCCCACTGTCTTTCTTGAGCATGTAAGTATCAAACTAATATGTCTTCAGACTGTACTGTGTTTGATTTTAAAATTGCTATTTGAGTTGCTGACTTGAGTTTCATGAAAATCATTTGATAAATTTCAGCTTGGGATTAGGACAAACTTTCCAATTTTGGAATGACTCTGAACGTACTTCTGCCATTTTGTACTGTGCATTTATGCAAAGTTGCATTCCCAGCATGGGCAATTATAAATCAAAATGAGAATCGACTCTGAAAAACACTGAAGAGGCTAAATGATCCTAGAATATCAAATATTCAGTAAGAATAATTGCCAAGGTTAAATTCTTTATGTAAAAATAAATAAGTACATTTATGTTATTAATGAATAGATTTGTTTCTGTTTTAGTAAATGACAAAAGTGTATATATATAAATATCAAGTAATTGTTCTAAAATAATTTATTATCAGTAAACATTTGATTTGCAAACCTGTTTTATGTATTTTTGTGCCTGAGCGTTTGGAAACTGGCTCTGGCCTGGGGGTTGGTCGAGAGGGAAAAGGCTGCCTTTCTGTATGGGGTTGGATGTTTGCTCAGGTTATGCGAGCTTTGCTGCTCGTACAGCTGTGGCTCTGGGAATTTTATATTTTCTGGGAACACTATGATCAACTTGCCAACTATGACCAACTCTTAGGTATATGTAAACTGAACTATTTCAGTGGCCGCTTCGACTCGTTTCTCAAGCAAGGCAGTTGCATTCACCTTGCCTTCCGGTTTCGGCGTGCCTGCCTCGCCTGGCACTGGGTTTCTCCTTCCAGTGACTACCCTGTCTATCGTAAGATCTGCATAACTGGAGCTATTTCAGAGCTCTTCAAGAGTGGCAAAGCTCCCTTTGGAAGGTAGTTGGCAAAATATGTGACCCACTCAGTACAAGTGGGCATGTGTGTCTGTGTGTGTGAGAGATAGAGGTTGGCATTGGGCATGTTCCTCTGGATCTCTAGACCCTATTTTTAGAGACGAGGTCTCCCTGACCTGAGGCTTGAGGAATCAGCTGGACTGCTCAGCCTGGATGCTCCAGGGATTCTCTTGTCTCCACTTTCTCAGCGATGGGATTATAGTTGTGCTCTCAAACACCAAATATGGGTGTTGGTGATCCAAACTCAAGTCAGCATTTACCAGCAGAACTGTCTCTTAGTCCCCAGCCTTGGCATTTCCCCATTTCAGCCAGCCAGTTTGTGCCTGTTGTTGTTGTTCTTCTTATTGACTTGACACAAGCTAGAGTCACCTGCGAAGAGGAAACCAAATTGAGGGATTTCATCCTCCAGGCATGTCTGTGGGACATTTTCTTGGTTGGGGGTTGATGTGGGAGGCTCAGTCCACCATGCACAGTGCTACCCCCAGGCAGAAGGTTCTGGGTCAGGTAAGAAAACAAGCTGAGTAATCTATGGAAAACAGTCAGTAAGCAACGGTCCTCCATGGCCTCTGCTTCAGTTCCGGCCTCCAGGCTGCTGCCTTGGCTTCCCTCAGTAATGGATTTTAACCAACTTTCCTTCCCGAGCTGGCTTTGGTCTGTGTTTTATCCCAGCAGCATAGACCTAAATAGGACACAACCAAACAAGGTTCTTTTGGATCCACAGATTGTCAACATTAAATTCGAAACCTCCCTGTGGTGAGCTCACATCTTAGCATCCAGTTTCACAGATCCTGTAAATTTCTATTATTCATGTCCGTCTTTGGAGTGTATTTTCTACCTCACACCTTTAGGGGGCACACTGGGACTTGAGTCTAGTCATAGCCCTGTAAGGAGAGACTGGCTGTGGGGCCAGTTCTGAGGACTCAGCATCGTCTTGCATATCACTGCCTCAGAGATTTCACTACATTTCTCCTGACAATTCAGTGCCAGTTCCTTCAGATTGCAATGGAAAGGCTGACTTGGCATTCCAGCTCTAATGCCAACTGGCTTGAGGCCCAGGAATAGCCCATGCTTCATTTTTAGTGTGAAGGCAGAAAAAAAATGGATAGATAACACTAGACAAAATTAAGAGCAGAATTTTAAGGAAACCAAATTTCAGCATCATATTTGGAGATAGTTGTGGAAAGTTACAGCAACTGAAACATAGGACAGATTTGAAGGTAAATTCACGTTTGTGGAACTGGGAGAGTAAAGTGTGCCTGAAGGTTGTCAGATGCAAGCCTAGGTCCAGCTTCTTTTTACAGATGAAGGACCCAAGCAGCCGTGCTGCCATGACAGGCTGCATAAGATACTGTAGGCCTGAGTTTCAGTTTCCTGGTAATGTCCCACAGTTGCTTAGATGCTCTTTCTGTTTCTCAGGACATGAAACTATGGTCAATGGAAATGAGATAAAATAACTCAGTAACCTCCCTGAAAATCAGAAACAGTTATCTAGTAACTGCCTTGAAAAGTTCTCAAGTACTTGACCAATCAAATTAAAGATAAGTTAGGAACCTTTGCTTAGCTAGTCAAAATGATATGGTTACCCGGGCACACCTTGCTAGGTGGACACTCCGTGAAACTCCCCCACCCCCTTTTCCCTAGATCAACACCAACCAATCAGTTTACCACAGCCTGCTTCTGCTAAATGTGAACCAATCATGTAACTGCCAGAGTTAGAAAATCCTTATTCCTGCTCAAACCACAATAAAAATCCCAGATTTGCTGCTGCTCAAGGCTCTCTCTCTAATCCACTGAATTGGTGATGGTCTGGAGTCTGAGCTTAAGCCCAGCAATAAAGGCTCTTTGTTCTTGGATTCTTGGTCGGTCTCCTGGTGGTCTTTAGGGTCTTTGGGATCTGGGCACAACAACAATTTACCCAGGTGTTATGTGCAAGAGATATGAATGTGTGTTCACACTGTTATTGTTCCTCATAGGTTTGAGAGTCACATCCGAAAGGTTCTTACGTGCAAAACTGTAATGTGATAAATAAAAAATAGATTCAGGGACATAGTATAGAACTAGTGAAAACATTTCTCAAGGGATGGGCTAGGAGCTAGCTGCCCAAGACCTCAGCTCCTTCATTGAACGGAAAAGCAGAGCCTTTGTTCTTGTCAGGGCCATTGGTTCCTTCCTTCCTTCCTTCCTTCCTTCCTTCCTTCCTTCCTTCCTTCCTTCCTTCCTTCCTTCCTTC